CAGTGTAATGCTCGCCTGCTTTATGTTAATGCAAAAGCCACCGAACGCGACCAACACTCCCACGCTCCGGACGTTGTAAAGGTCAGAGCAAAGTCGGCAAGGCAGGTTTTGAAAGCCCGTGCAGCGACAACACTGGAAAGACCACGGCAGATAATTGACGAAATTCGCGCCGATATTCCGCTTACCGTGGCCGTTAAAATGACATCATACGATGCCCTTGCGCAGACCATTGTACGTCAAAGGAAGGCGGCTGGTATTCCCGTGACACGTGTTAACACTCTCGCAGATATTGATGGGAGCTACTTTTTGAAAGAAAATACGCGTGGGGAGTCGATTCTTATTGCTGACACCGGACGGGAAGATCAGCACAGAATCATTATATTCGGAGACCCTAAATGTGTTGATCACCTTGCGAACGCAGCTGTTTGGCTCAATGACGGCACTTTCAGCGTGAGCCCGCCCATCTTCTCACAGCTGTACACTGTCCACGCGAATGTATGTGGAGCGACAACACCTCTCATATACGGATTGCTGCCTAATTAATGCGAGCTAACATACCGCCGATTTTTCATCATCATTCATGATCTGCTGCTGGGGAAAGGGCGACCGGGTGCGATTGGGCCGGAATATATGCTCATGGATTTCGAGCAGTCCTCAATTATCGCATTTCGAGCTGTTTTTCCGGTGTCAAAATTAAGAGGTACAGAAAAAAACAAGAATAAAAAAATAGCACACTTTAAAAAATAATTTAAAATTAGTGAATAATTGGTTAAAATCATAATCTTAAACCATGTTTTTATCTAAAAAAGTCTCATGAATTTTGAACTTAAATAGAATATTTTTTGAATAGATTTCTAATGAACTGCACTGAACCTCGAATTATTGTAAGGTACGATGGCTAAAAAAAATATTACAATAAATAATAACAAAATAACAAATTTCAACAGCTTTTTCATAAATTTTATTAAATTTTTGTAAAGGTTTTAATCAAATTATAAATTACCGAATAATCATATTTTGGAAATGCAAAAATGCTTGTTTAAACAAATTTTGTCGTTATTGTTTCCGATTTAAGTGCGGCATTATATTTCAGAAAAATCTATTTTACATTTCAGAATTTTAAAAAAACCAGTAATTGCTAATTATGACATATTAATCTTTAAAAATTTGTAATTATGTATTAATAAAGGATTCCAGTAATCATGTCAACAGTTTATCGTAATTTCAGTTACTGACTAATTGTAAAATCATAGTTCCTTGATTTTAAAAAATTTACAGTAATTGAACTATAGCCGAAAATATTATGTCGGTAGTTTTTAAAAATATGAAAGAATTTATAATAATTTGATATATAATGTGATATTTTAATGATATGCAAATATAAATTTTATTAATATATTGATTAATATTAAATATAACGTGTAAAGAAATTTAGAATTTTAGTTGCATTGCAACAGTTTATGGTAATATAGAGTTTTGTAGTTATAAAACAATAAGGTTTCAATTATCAACAATTTACAAAAATTGATCCATAAATCAAAAACGTCAGTTTTAGCAATTTTTAAATTATGTTAAATGAATTTAACGAATACTTTAACCCGGTTATGGTTTAGGTTGCAATTTTCATTTTGGGCAAAGCGTTTACCGAAAACTCGTCAATCTTGGGCTGGGGCCTGCGTATGCCACTGATCCAGAATTCAGCTTGTGTTGTCGCATGCTTTTCGCACTTGCCTTTGTCCCAGTCAAAGATGTTCAGCGTGTGCTCGCGGATCTGCTGAAAATACCGGATTTCCCGTTCAAGCATGGCGACGCTTTTATTGATTATTTGCGAACAACCTACATCGGCCACACCGCATTCGTGATTTCAACAAACAAGTGCATTATCACCAAACCGCTATTCCCAGTAGAATTCTGGAATTGCTGGGATCGGCTGGAAAACGATATTCATCGCACAACGAATCGGCTTGAAGCGTGGCACCACGCTTTTTCGGATGTAGTGAACAGAGATCATCCCGGCATCTATACTTTTCATGACCTTTTGGCAAGAGAAATCACCCACCAGCAAACAGAGGTTGCGTTGCGAATGGCAGGTGCTGAACCGAGGCAGAAGAAAAAATATGTTGAGGTCACCAAGCGACTTAAAAATATCGCTTCCAGCTACGGCCAAATGGACAGTGCGGATTACCTAAGAGCGGTGGCTACGAATCTGGAGATCATGTTAGAAAAACGTACTGAACCACTGTAATTAATTCATCACTTGCTCGGTTTCATATCATGTGCGCGTTTTTTTCTCATGATATTATTGCGGGTTTCGTTTATTATGCGTTAACGTTGTTGTGCGCCGAAAATTCGAAGCGAATCTAGTTTCGGTACAGCCAATCTTATACGGTACGTTTGGCAATGTTATGCATTTATCCTATATTAAGTTTTTTCGGGAATATTGTAGTTTTTGCTTTGTTATTTGTGGGCATCGGTTGGGCTGTGTAGTAAGTACTACTATGTTTGTGCGGTATCACTTTACTATTACGGATAAAATAACTCGCTACTAAGTAAGTACGTTAATGCTGTCTTGAAATCAACCTGCCAGTATCTATTATTTTGAAGATTGAATTGTCCGCTTTAGTGGTTGACGTGCATGTACTTAACTGTACACGATGACTGTAAAAAATAAACAAATCGAATTGTAATCGGTTCAGCTAGTGCCGAAATGTATGGTAAAATAAATGTAATCGTAGCCGAAATGAATAATAGCCGAAACGAATGGCAGCCGAAATGAATGGCAGCCGAAATGAATGGCAGCCGAAATGAATGGTGGCCGAAATGAATGGTGGCCGAAATGATAGGGTGCCTCTGCGCTAGGCAGCCACGTCCCTCGGTTCGTTGTGCGTTTTAAGTACAAGTCTATGGGAGATAAAAGTTGTTTCAGGGCAATCTCGATCACCGATGACGCAAAATATTTTTCCTAACTCGTAACAGTTACATTTTGGGCCACTCAGTAGTTTAAAAATAACCCCGGGCTAAAATATTCTTTGGGGAATTTTTTAAGCAGACTGATATAAACACTCGTTGGTACTATAAAGTTTATAGTACTAACGAGTGTTTATAGCAGTCTGCTTAAAAAATTCGTTAACTTAGCTTATAGTGGTGGAGGTCAGTTATATTTGGGTAACCTTAGCGCGACAGGTAACGGTAAAACGCGTAGAAAATGTGACGTAACAGCGCGTAAGCAAGTAAACATTCTGATTCGTAATCGCAAAATCTGTGATGGGTTTTCAGCTTACTTGTCCGCGTAAGCGTTGCGCTTCGACGTCGAAGCACAACCATTACAGTACCCGAAACTACTTACGCACATGACTCACACCGATCACCAAATTTTTTGAATTTCGGAAGAATTCCTACTGTACTCGTAGTTGTTGGCTTACCGTACACTTGCGGAATTATTTCTCCTTAAAAGTTGTGTTGTTTACGTTTTTTTATGTGTTTATGCCATCAGAATATCGAGATCACATTGCTGAACACCAGCGCTGTAGATCGTAATTATTTCTTGATCATGTACTCTGCCTTTATGAAATCTCCTAAGAAGACGTCTCCCGCGAAGAAGAAGCGACGACCCATAAAACCAAAGCTTGAGGTGGCTAATGGAGACCCGCTGCAACTTAACTCAGGCAGATGTCTCCGTTTTCTCGTCGGTGCCATACCAGAAAGACAACAAAAGATGATATTTTGCTGCACACTCGTAATCGATAATTGATTCCAAATAGATTACTGTTTTTCGTATCGAAAAAAGATTCATTCTATAGCCTGTACCAGCATGAAACGTATCTTTTTTACACTTTGGAAAGCTACGGCAGTTGGTTTACGGCAGTTGTCATGGAAATACTTGCATCCAAATGATCCAACTACTGTACATCACTACATGCACTGCTCTGTAACTTGGTGAATTGGTAAAGTACTCGTATGCTAACCTGGGCAGCGTCACCGGCTCCCCTCTCAGAAAAATTTTATTTTTTGCAGGAGACAGAGTAACAATAGGGTATGCCTAAAAAACAGTTTCATCTGCTATGGTCAGTAGGGCGCGGCCAAACTAAATTTAAAAGTTGAAGATTTGTATGTTGTAGAACTTCTACAAATAGCTACAGCCAATGCTTTGTTTCGTATTCGTAATACCAACCACTTCATACGCTATCGTACGAGGCCTACAGGCTACAGTTTGTGTGTCCAATATTCTCCGTTTTTGTTTCTGAACCACCTGTAGACGGTAGTGGTACGAGTAATTAACTAATTTTTGAGAGATAAATCTGCAGGTCTTATACTTCCATTTTAATGCGCACTGTCAGTTTTTAGCACTTACAGATACTGCTAGCACAAAAATCGAAATACAGATCTACCTATCTGTAAACATAAAATACAAAATAACTAGCTGCCTTTCTAGTAATAATTTACTGAACAAATAATAATTATCTAGCTCGTTTCAGAAACGGAGACTCGTACAGAGAATACCGAGCGCACATAAGGCGCCATCCATAAATTACGTCACGCAAGTAGGGGGAGGGGGAGGTCCTGAAAGCGTTACTGTTTGTTACGAGGGGGAGGGAGGCTTTAAAAATTTGTTACGATGATGACGTCAACATGCTATATCGATGGAGGGGTTCAAATTTTGTTACGTAACGCTCAGGGGAGGGGATCTCAGTTTGTTAGCATTGGTGACACAGGGGGAGGGGGGTATCAAAATGTCCAATTTTTTGCGTGACGTAATTTATGGATGGCGCCTAAGCCTTTTACGATAGGGTACGAAGTACTGTACGTACTTAGAGTACGAAGCAATGCTTTGACTACAGATACAGGCTGTAACATAGCAGATCTTTAACTTTTAAATTTTGTTTGGCCGCGCCCTACTGACAATAAGGCAATGTCCATGTTCAGATTTACGTTTCTTAAATCTTTTCTTTGTGTCTGGCCTGTGCTGTACAACCTGTTAAGGAGCCACTCCTGCTGCATACCTGTAAGTGTAATCGCTGTAGTGGGGCCTTTTTGGGACAAACAAGATCTGGAGAATCGCTTGTACGTTCGACCGTGAAAGTTTCATCTTTATCTGCTTCTGAAGTCGAACAAAATTTGACCGGTTGCCATGGTTAGGCCCTAAGGTGTTTTCTTGTCGGCTCGGACGTGACTGAAATTAAATCCCTAATTGTAGTTTGTAATGTATGTATGCTTGCAGGAACATTATATTGACTGGAGATATTACCTGTTGTGTAAACTCCGTCAGTTAGTTGGCTAGCCAGAAAGCTTTTTTAACAAGACGCATCAGAAACACAACACTAACATCCGTTGCAGACGCACGCGAGCACATAAAGCAGACGAAATTGCTGTATGATAAAAAAGTTGAAGACGCTTAGTCCTGCCTTTAACGCATACTGCAGCTTCTTACAGTACAGCGCAGAATAACTTTGGAAATGACTAGATGTACAATTTTTTAAACAATGCGCTTCTTCACGGAAGTAATTACTATGATTATTTTAGAGCACTTGGTCTACTATCGCTACGCAACCGTTCGTCTAAATTCATTAGTGGTCCACGAACTAGCCAATCAAACAGTTATGGTATTTAATAACTGTGGTGTATGTACTACTCCAAAGTGTACCTGCCACTACAGA